ATTATGTTACTAGCATCTGGCAGTTTTGTACCTTGTCCAGTAACACTGAGGGGGGTTACCATTTGACATTCTTTCGCCTGTAGAATTGTTCTTCGTGTTTAGTACACTGTTCCAGTTCTGTGCTCTGCACTGTTGTTTTTAATTACTTACAAATGTTACGTTGGCCATACTTTTGTTAACCGAGCCAATTTGGATTGCTGTCATTTTGAATTTGTACCTTTTTTCCTTGAGTCTGGTTATCAGAATATTCAATTTTAATAAATTACACATTTGAGTTTTCATTTGTTACTGTTGGTTTAACATGTCATTATGGTTTTAAGCACATTTATATGATCTAGTTATGTTCTAGATCCAATAACATCTAAATCTTTATTCAAAAATCTGTGAATTCTTTTGGACTTGTCAATTCTTTGTAAAGTCAAGAATTATATAATGTTATGTTAAAGGAAGTACTGTCCACATGCATGCTGTAATTGCATGTAAATCTGTTAAAACCTTGAGTTTGCCAAGTACTGTAACTGTTGACTGGCATTTTTGTGCTGCTGTAAGCAACTCCAGCCTGATTTCTGATCATCAGCAAGTGATTTAATCACGTTGTACTAAATTCCAAAGAAACTGGGAAAATGATAATTAGACATCTTGGGAATTGTAATTGTTTATGTGGATTGAAATTCACACAATTGTTATAGGAGTGAAAAACTTAAACGCCCACAGTTCTTTGTAATTGAATACCAGCATTAATTAATTTAGCTAAGTATGTTGCACTCTTTAGGGATTTGCATGAAGAAGGTTGCAGATTCAAATTTTGACTTTGTTATCTCTCCCAGCTGAGACAACAATTGTATCTGCAAACACACATGAAGGAATGGAAGAGTTTTCCATTCCAATCACTTTCAATGAATTCTGATAAGCTGCGGTATAGGGGTATGCAAACAAGGGAAGGCCATTTTCAAGTAAATATATTTGCCTCTGATGACTTGATTCACCTAGGAAGCCAAACATGCTTGTATCTTCTGAAATCAACTGAAAATGCTGGCAATACTCAGCAAGTCAGGCAGCTTCTGTGGCAAAACAATGTTACCATTTCAGGTCATTTGACCTTTCATCAGAACTGGAAAATATTATGGATACGTTTTAAGCAAATACAGAGGAGGGTGGGAGAAGGTTGGTGCAGCAAGAAAGAACTCCTTTAATATACAAGGTGTAGAGCTGGATGAACACAGCAGGCCAAGGAGCTTCAG